TGGTAATTCGAGTTGTTTATTTGTGATTCTACTTGGTGCTTAGTGTGAGCATCTTCATACTGCTTGGAGAGATCCATACGTGCAATATAAGTCCATGTCGTGGTTAGAAGATTAGTTAGGTAGGTATGCAAAGTAGGTTAACAAGATGGAGTCTAGACGAGTAATTCTTATTTGTATTTATTGGCCAAACACTTGCTTAATGAAATAGTTATGAGGAAGAGAGAGAGACGCTCTTCTGAAAGTTCGTTTTTAGTTATTGCCTTCCGCATATTTAGACGAACTTACATTATATTTAGTATAAGTACAAAAATTACGCACCCCCAAAATTTCAGTATCAACTCCAACTCCCCTTGATGTTATTCCTATCACTAAACGACCTAACCCACGAATGCTCGTCGAGCAAGCAAAACTGTTATTGTATGAATTGCTTCAGAAAATAACAATCGAATTCGGGGAAAATCCAGCGTCACTTTCTTCTCATGCTTTCAGTTCTTCTTCTTATTCCCATTATCCTCAACTGAAGGCGGAACTTGGCTCAAACTTTGATGATTGGACTTCAAATTATAATTTCTACAAGCATGCTAAGATTGCAAGAAATTTGGGGACTGTATATAATGAACTCAATCACTTATTAGCGTCGGAAATCAGACTTAAGATTTTGAAACCACCGGTTCCGCCACTCACATTCGATGTTTCGGATTGGTGGTAATAAATGAGACAATTATCAAGTTCCATTCTTGATGACTAAGGAGATTTTTATTGTCTTGGGCCTCAATTGTGACGATTGATCAAACATTTAGCGAGAGGGATATACACTGGACATAGACGGTCGAGATTTACACCACAAAACTTAGAACGCTGCTAAGTGATTGGAATAAGTCCAAACGAATGGTAGAAACAGCCATGCTAACTACCAAAAAGGACGACAAAGTGACGAATGATTTTACTTGAACTAGTGGAACCGACAGAAATACCAACGACTAAGATTACTAGATCGTTCAACGGATCCTGTCATCTTCTTATCAATGTAAGTAAGGTAAACGAACTATAACTATGCAAACAATAACTATATTAATAACTGAAAACTTAAAAGAGTACAATCGAGGTATCAATAGACACCACTTAAACAAGAACAATGACTCGACCAACCCCTCTTGAAATTACATAGGTGACCAAGGGGGTACAAACTACATAAAAAAGACACAGATACCCATAGAACAAAAATTCCATAAAGGAGACACAAACTTCATACAAGAGGCTAAAAGTTAGACACAACTGGACTAACAAAATGAAAAAAAAAAAAAAAAANAAAAAATAACTCATACCTAACAAACAAATAGAACAAGACCCCCCCTAAACATAACACGCAAACCAGGCGACCACCCAAACCGACACACATCTACAACACAGAGTCCTGATAGCGCTGCAAACTAGAAATCTCAGACCCAAAAACAACGACCTAACTCGAACTGTATAGATACATCGAGCGAGAAAGTGATTCTTACACCAAATCCATGCCCAGAAGATCTTCAACGCTAGGGGGCAGCCGTGGCTGAAGGACGACACCGACAGTGCCAAGACCGTGAACGGTTGCTCCGCCGCTAGGAGCCTCCAGCCAGAAAAGACGGTAAAAAAGAAATCTCCCGACTGTCACGAGGCCAAAGGAGGAAACACCAAGCGGCGGCCCCAACTTGAGCGAGAGAGGGAGATGCGGTGACACAACGAGAACCCACGCCTACACGGAGGTTGAATACGGGGCGGGAAGGGATCCTCTGACCTCGACCATGGCTGAACAGGACAACTGTCGTTGCCGGTAGAAAAAAAAAAAA